TTTTTCCTCCACCTGAACACACCAGGTTTGTTGATGGTTATTGTTATTTGTAGTCTTATGGAATTTTGGGGTATGATGACATGACCCGACTAAATGCTCAATTACAATTTACAATGGGTTCATATTACTTTTATGCCCACCCTGTTTTAAGTAGTTTTCTGAGTATCTTCTTTTCCATCTAAGAACAGTTCTTTTATTTGGATCAATGGTGTGAAAAATCAGATTTAATTGATAGAAATATATGTACATTAATAAATTAGTCATTAGTAGAATTTTCAATATATTTTTTTATATATCTGCATCTGAATTATGGGAGACAATAAAACTTCCAAATCTTGAAAGTTGAAACCTCCACAACATGTGTGCAATATAAAATGAAGAAGCTAAAAAATAATAAAAGGTAAGTATGTGAAGTAAGTGTAATTTATACAAATAAGAAGAGTAGTTCGTTGGAGCAGCCACTGGTTTTTGTAAAAGGTGATGGTGAAGTATTGATTTGTTAAACTCGCTGGTCTTTCTGGTCCATGCACCACACAATAGTAACCCTTCCCATCCTCATGACCATTTTTTCCCCTTATATAATACCAGAGAAGCCCATTATTTCCCTTCTCCCGCACTCACAGCTTTCTCAGCCTTAATACACGCTCTCTTCGCCGCCGGGCCACCACTTGCTCCGCCACTTCAAATGGGGTCAGCTGGATATTACGAAAACTATCAACCTCATTTTTTTTTATTATTGCTACCTTTGCCACAAACCACTCAGCCATAACCACGGCATATTCATGTACAAGTTAGCTAGCTACATCATAAATTTCTTTCCTTTCTATTATTTTTATTGTAGAATTCTTGATTTGGAAATTAATAAATATAGTGACATTATTGCACATGGTATTGCAGAGGGAACACACCATTTTGTAGTCAAGAGTGCCGGCAAGAACATATCGAAATGGATGAAGCCACCGAAAAAAGATGGAAACTTTCATCCTCAAAGAGTAAAATCAGTGAAATAGATATACTCGGAATCTGCAGCTAAAGAGTCCGACACTAAGAAAGTTCTTAGGACAGGGACGACTGTGGTTGTTGCCTAAACTGCAAATAACATGGAAAATGAATGGAGAAAAATAAAATGTAAAAAAAAAAAAGGAGTGCATGCAAAGGAAAGTCCATCCACCAATTTTGATTTTTCTTCCAGTTGTTGATAATTGTCTGATTCTTTTTTGTTCTTCCTTTTTGAACTGAAATTGAGTGGCATCTGGGATCGAGAGCCCTGTAATTGGAATGGCATGTGAGATATGAATCATGAGAAACATATCATCATCAGAATAATCTCTTAGCTGGGGTTCCTTTGGAATAAGATTACTTACTTGGTTGCTTGCAAGCAATTAATTTGCAATGGAAAATCAGCTGAGTTTATGAAATTGTTGTTTGGTTGGTAAACATAACAGATCTAAGCCACTTGTGATCTTCAGAGTAGTTATGTTAAAAAAAAATCCCATGTCTTTTACTTTATATTTATTTCTCTCTAGGATCCTACTTGTGGGACTTTTGATGTGATGATACTGAAGGAGGTTTTGGGTAATAAAGTACCAACAGTCCTTTCTATATGGTAATTTTCTGGCAAGTGTTAGGTCCATGAAATGGAAGATGATGATTGTATGTATATAACTTTAGTGCAGGATAAAATCAAATCTGCTACCCTCAAAACTTCAACTCATCAGTGTCTATCACATAGGTATCCCTGCTGACTTGATGATTTTGACAATATGCTTACTTTTAATTAAAGGAAAAAATGTATAAGAAAAGGTCAAGAATCAAATCAAATTACTAGTCACGGCCTAATACAAGCATCACAGTTGGAATTTCAGTAGTAAATAAATGGAAATTAGTTCAGAATTATTGAATATATAGTTAAACTCAAGAACACTGATTGTAGCTAATTAGATCTTCGTTTAGTAGCTCGGCTCCCTGATTGATAGGGAGTCCCTCGCTAGAATGATTATAGGTTCCTTCCTACCTCTACCTCGCTCGATGACCTGATACATTTTATTTTACCTAAGAAAATTACGAAAGCCTAGAGGTGATTTTTTCAAAGTAAAACTATAATTGTAAAATGATGTGGATGGTTGAGATGCAAATAAATGTTTGACTAATATTTGACTCAATGAAAATCTTAACTACTGTTGTCAACTATAATTATACATGTAGCATTGTGTTTCTAAAATTATTTATCATTTGGTTAAAAAGCAATGAACATCCGGTCAAAAATAATTATCTATATATCTATAATTGTTGACAAATTTAATAAAATTATTTGGTTTCCCTCCATTTTCGGTTACAAAATTATATAATTAATTTACTTTTCACATTAATACACCATACTAAGTGTAATCATATATTTTTTGATATTATATTATATAATAATTATTGCTAATACCAACTAATAATAATTCACACTAAATACAAATTATATAAGTATAAACAATTCTATGGTATTTTTGTTCTTCAAGCTCATTCTAAAATCAATATTATTATTTTTATTTATATTTTATCTCATGAAATAATTTTCCTTAAAAAAAATTAGCGAAATAGTTTTAATAGCATAGTCAAATCACTTTAAAATCTTATAAACAATAATAATAATTTGACCATGATCCCTCAAAATTATAAAAATTACATTATCCACAAACTTTTTCCAATTAATATAGTGATTCATATATACGTAAATAATTTATATTTATATTATTTTAGTTTCACTAATGACTAAATCTTGAAAATGTGATATGTACATTATCTAGAATATTAATATTATATTCGCACATGTTATTTATAATATTTTATGTATATCTATGCACGTCGTCAAGATAATTACTAGTTGAATTTTCCCCCCTATAACTGAACTATGGATTCTATGTTTGCTTACGTTTAAGCCCAGACGCTAATCACCTAAAGCCCAAGCCCAAAAATATAAAACTGCTGTAAGCCCATAACTAAAACCCTTTACAGGCGCCGTTGGCGGGGCTCTCATTCCCGACGTCTTCTCCGGCGAGGTCCGGATGTCTGCTGCCGTACGCACACTTCACTGCTCCCACTTTCTCCACATCAGCTCTGAAACCCTAATCCATTTTCCAAATTCCCTGCGCAAAAAGCTAGGGATTTTCTATCAGCCGACTCGAGTTGCTTGCTTTCACAGCTTATGTTCATTCCCCAACGCTTCAGAATTCGATTTTCTTGGTCAACTCTCGCCTAGCTCCATTAATGCTGCAAACGCAGTGATTAATTCAAATGAGAGGCACAAACTTAGTGTTGCCATTTCGAAAATTATCAAACAGGGAAAAGGTTACATTCTTAGGAAAATTTCCAGCAATTTCTGCCCATTTAGCCTCGTGGAGATCATGAGGTCCCTCGGAAGCCACCAACTTGCATTTGCGTTTTTCAGATATGCATTCCGCGATCATTCGGATGGTGCCGTTCGGCACTGTTACGTCGCCGTGCATTTATTAGTGTCCGGAGAATATAGGCTTTTAGCACAAGACGTGCTCACTTGGGTGATTCAAGAAATTGGAGCTGAAAGAAGCTACCAACTCGTGTGGCGAGAGAACTGTGAGCACGCTTTGGACTTTTTCATTCTTGATGCCCTAATGCGTTCTTTTACTGATGTAGGGATGACGTCGTGTGCCCTGGAGGTGTTGGGTAGGATGAGAGAAATCGGTGGTCGGCTGAGTGTATCTGCAATTTGTGTTTTAGTAAAAGTGCTGCTTAGGCACGGTGATTGTGATAGTGTGTGGAAATTGTTCAGAGATATGATCTGTAAAGGACCCATCCCAACAGTTTATATCTATAACATGATGATTCTTGGATTTTGCAGGAGAGGCTCTGTGTGCATTGGAGAAAGTCTATTCTACGTGATGAGAAAGTTTGGGTGTGAACCCAATGTGTATACGTACAATATTTTGATAAATGCGTATTGTGTCAGGGGGTCAACTTGGGATGCATTGGGTTGGGTGGATTTGATGGTGGAAAGTGGCTGCTGTCCGAGTGCCGCTACATTTAGTACTGTCATCAATGCTTTTTGCAAGGAGGGTAATATTAGAGAAGCGAGGAACATTTGTGATTGGATGCATGAAATGGGGGTGGTGCCGAACACCACCATATATAATGCTTTGATGGATGGCTATGTTAAGGCTAGAGAGATTGGCCTCGCAAGTATGCTTTTCGATGAAATGAGGATGAAAGGCGTGGCTCCCGATAGTGTGACGCTCAACATCTTAGCCGGGGGTTATTACAAGTATGGAAAGCGGGAGGATGGAGAAAACTTTGTAAGGAGCTTATCAGCAATGGGGTTGGTTCCTGACTGTCCGTTGTCTGATATGAAGATCGGAGGACTATGTTGGGCAGGGAGATTGGATGAAGCTTTGGCATTATTAGAGAACATGCTTGAGAGAGGTATTCCTCTTAGTGTAATTGCACTTAACTCGTTAATTGCTGCGTATGGCAGAGCAGGGTTAGAGGACAAAGCTTTTGAAGTCTATAACATCATGGTGAATGCCGGCCTAGACCCATCAGCTTCTACGTGCACTTCTCTTGTTTTGGGTTTATCTAGAAATGGAAGGACTCAAGAGGCCCACACTCTCATGTACCAGATGATAGAAAAGGGTTATCCCGTTAGCAAAGTGGCTTTCACAGTGGTCTTAGATGGATATTTCAAGAAAGGGGACATTGCGGGGGCACAGAGGCTGTGGGAAGGCATGGAGATGATGGAGATGGCCCCTGATGCCGTTGCCTTTTCTGCTTTCATCAACGGCCTCTGTAAAGGGGGTTTTGTAGAGGAGGCGCATGATGTGTTCTTGAAAATGACGAGCAAAGGGCTTGTCCCCAACAATTTCACTTACAACTCCTTAATTTCCGGGTTTTGCGGCAAGGGAAAAATGGACGAGGTACTGAAGCTAGAAATGGAGATGAGGGAGAGGGGCTTGCTCCCGGATATCATCACCTTCAACATTATTATAAAGGGGTTCTGTAGACAGGGCAAAATGAAATCGGCCATGGACACCTATTTCGAAATGCACAAAAATGGGTTGACCCCGGATATCATCACGTACAACACTTTGATCAGTGGGTACTGCAGGGATTTCGACATGTTGAATGCAGAGAATATGGCAAATACGTTGCAGTCTAGCGGCTGGGGCCTAGATGTCACCACCTACAACATAAAGATTCATGGCTACTCCAAAAGCCGGAGAATGAATCGGGCTGTTTTGATGTTCAACGAGCTTATTTCCTCCGGAATAGTCCCGGATACAGTTACTTACAACACTCTGATTAATGCCGTGTGTCATGATATGCTTGATCGTGCGATGATCTTGACTGGGAGACTGCTTAAGATGGCTTTTGTCCCAGATTTAGTTACGACTAACTTGTTGCTGTCTAATTTACGCAAACAGGGGCTACCATACAGGACCGCTATGTGGGCTCAAAAGTTGAGGGAAATTCCTTTCGAGTTTGACGAGATAACGTATAAGATATTGGACAAAACGTATCATGATATAGAAAAAGACGTGGGATGTATGAAAGAAATAACAGGGAAGAGCTTATTCCTGGACTTCCTTATGTACATGACATACGACTTTATACGCAGGAATAAGATCCAGCGTGAATAAGGAAGCAATCAACTGATAAATTTATCGGGTGACTGTCTGATGGTTGTGTATTTGGCTAAACTGGTGACGTGTTCGGATGACCTGCCAGAAAATGCACTTGAGTCAACATTAGATGTGGCAGTTTTATTCGTCAACTTCATGGCACACAATTTAAAATGGGGCTCAAACACTGCATCTTCCTTTGCGCTGTTAACTGTCTAAAGGTATTCCCCATTTGTATATTACGTTTTGCACTAGAAAATTGTTAATTTCATCTGCAAGCCTCGGTTGGTACAGGAGTTTCTGTTAGAATAGTGTAACATGCAGTCACAGTCACAGCTTTCTTTCGATATTCTCAGCTTCTGCAGACACTCATCCAGCATCTATAATGCTACATTTCAGTTATTAAGATAATCCCTAGTGCAGTACTCGAGTTTCAATCATATCTATGT